AGGCCGAGCAGGCGGAGAGCGGAAACCGGCGGCGACGGCTGCTGCGGCGGCGACGATGGCTGGGCCGGAACTCTCGGACCAGCAGAGGCAGAACGACCGTCGGCAGAACACTCAACAGCAGCACCCCCAGAACCAACACCCCCAGAGCGAGAACCCCCTCCAACACCAGCGGCACCCCCAGAAGCCGCAGGACGAACACCCTCCTCCACACCAGCACCCCCAGGGGCCGAGAGCAGCGGCGGCAGTGGCGGCAACGGCTGCGGCGGCGGCGACAGCAGCGACGGCTGCGGCGGCGACGACAGCGGCGACGGCGACGGCGGCGGCAGCGGGGTCGGCGACTGCGACAGTGGGGGCGGAGGCACCGGGGAAGGGGGACGCGGCAAGGACGGACCGGGGGTACCACCAGAGTCAGCAGACTCCTCAACGGGGACAACCGACGGGAGGGGAGTGACGTGGGAGACACCAGACGGGGCAGGACGGGGCGGGAGAGGGGCAGGGGCTACCGGGGGAGAGGGAGCAAGAAAAAGGGGGGGGGCAACTGGGAGACCTCGGTGAGGGAAGCGGCGGTAGAAGGAGACGGACTCGTCAAAGGTGACGTCACGAGAGTGGAGGAAGCGGTGAGATGGCGGGTGGTAGAAAAGCCAGTCAGACGAGTCCAGGGGGAAACCGAGGAAGACACAGGGGACAGTGCGGGCAGTGAGCTTGTCCGTGCCAGAGGCACGAACGTGAGCAAGGCAGCCCCAGACGTGGAACGCAGACGCGTCACCGGGGGACCCGGTCCAAAGGAGGGTCGGCGAAACCTGCGGCCGCTGGGAGCGTGGCCACAGGTTAAGCTGGTGAGCCGCGTAGCGAACAGCGAACGGCCACAGAAAATGGGGGGCATCGGCATGGATCATGGAGGTACGGGCGACCTCCATGACCAAGCCGATGCGGCGCTCAGCAACCCCATTCTGCTGTGGCGAGTCCGGCAACGTGTACGACTGGGTGATGCCCTCCGCACGACAGAACTGTCCAAGCCGACCAGAGGCGAACTCGCCGCCACGGTCGGAGTGGAGACACAACACGGGGAGACCGCGGTGGAGACGCGCAGCCACAACCCACGGGAGAAGAACGTCGGGCACGTCGGCCTTCCGCTCCAGGGGAAACACCGTGGTGTAGCGCGTGTAGTCGTCGACGAGCACAAGGAAGTAGCGCTCACCGCGCGGTCCGGGGAGGGGGGCAGGGCCCCAAACGTCCAAGTGCAGGGTCTGAAGGGGGGCAGTAGCAGGACGCAGCGAGGAGGAGTGAGGAGCACGGCGGAGCCGACCCTCGACGCAAGGCGTGCACGGTGGCGCAGTCGAGGGAGGAAGGGCAGGGAGCGACGCGGGGAGACCTAAGACAAGACCGTGCTGGGACATGTGACGCAGACGCGGGAGAGCAGGATGACCTAAGCGGTGGTGCCAGAGAAGGGAGGGGTGAGTGAGGGACCGACACGAGCAAGCTGCAGCGACCTGGGAGGACGCACCAACCGGGGGGGAAGCGGTGTGTAGGGTAAACAGACCGGACACCGGGTCCCGGGGGAACGTCGCAAGGGGGGAACCTGAGACAGCCTCAGAACAGACAGCGAACCGCTCGTGCCCGGGGAACGTGGTGGTGACGCCGAGGTCCTGAAGACAGCCGACACCAACCAGGTTCCTGGAGAACGAGGGAACGTGGAGGCCAGTAAGGGAGCCCGAGGGAACTGCCGGACAGGGAAGGGACGTAGAACTGCGCGCGACGACCGGACCCGCAGAGGGGTCAGCGAGAGAGACAACAGCAGGTGCAGCAAGCGGCGTGAGCGTGGAACGGTCGCGGAAGAAGCAGGCAGAAGCACCAGAGTCGAGAGTGAAGGACAGCGACGCAGTGGCGGAGGCCGGGGACGGAGCCGGTGCAGCGACTAGACTAGGCAACCTAGGCAGTCCTACGCCTGTCGCAGCAGGGGAAGCTAAGCTACACAAGGGTGAAACACCTAAACTAGAGTACACAGGGTAGTAAGATCCAGCAACACTAGAAGCGTCAGCATACAAAGCATGCAAAGCAGCACCTATCTGATCCATGTCTAACTCAAAGATCGGCACGCCCTGGCGGAGCAGGCTGTGCCAGTCAGGGAGGTCCGGGGCCGGGCCAAAGCGACGACGAAAAAGATCGTCGAGGCGGCGGAAACAGCGGGCGGTCGGGTGCGGGCGGCGGCACAGAGTGCCGCGGAGAGGCCCGGTCTGAAGCTGGTACTGGCAGGTCACAGCACTGGAGCCGCTGGTAGACGCCAAGCTGCGCGGGCCGCCACCACGGCCACCGCCTCCGGAGGTGCCGGGCCAACCAGGCGGGAGACGAGCCCACGGCGGCGGCGGGTGCTGCTGGGACGGCGGCTGCGGCTGGGGCTGGTCCTGCTGCTGCTGGGGCTGCTGCTCCTGCCCACCGGTGGTAGTCCCCTCAGGCGGACTACCGTCACCACCACCACGACCACTACCACCTGCGTCACCACCCCTACCTCCCTGGCGGCCACGGCCACCGCGACGCGAGCGCTGCTGCGGGTGGACAGCAGCAGCCGTCTCGGTAAGAGGGGTCGCCGTGGCGACCGCAGCCGAAACGTCAGTGAACGTGCACTGGGATGGGGCACAGCCGTGAAAGATAGAGACTGCCGGCGCACCGCTCGACTGAGCGATAGTGCGCTGGCGAGTCTCGATCTCAGTGAGGGTGTCGACAAAGGCGGTCAGGGTGAGGTCACCCGGGTGCTGGCTAAGAAAGTGGTCGCGAGCACTAGCGAGGCGGTCTGGCAGGCGCATAGCGATAAAATAGAGCGTCATGCAGAAAGGAGGGGGGAGCGCAGTGAGCTGGGCAGCAGTGCTGGCAGTGCGATAGCGAGTCTCTAGGGCACGCAAATGAGTGGCAAAATCTGCGACAGTAGGGAAGGCAGCCAGGTCTGGGAACAGCATCGGAAAGAGCAAGCGGCCAGCAGAAGCGGAGGCAGGGGTGGAATAGCGAGCAATAACGGCGTCTAAATAAGCTTTGGCCGTTTCAACAGTAGCAAAACGCGAGCGCTCAGACACAGGGAGGGCGTGACTAATAGCAACCTGAGCTACTGCATCGCGTGAGTCCCAGACCGCACAGGCCAGCGCAGCAGTAGAGAAAGCCTCACGGTCATCAGAGGAGGGGTCAGCAGGGAGGGGAGTAGGTGCAGGGGGACGGGGGAGCAAGCCATCAGCATGGACAACCAGAGAGTGGCCATCCTGGCGCTGACCTGTAAGCTGGCGGCGAAGATCGGAGAGCCAGGCGGCGAAGTCAACCGCGTGGCCCTCAGCGTCCAGGCGGAGCACAAAGTCAGCCATCGTGCAGGGTCAGCGGCACAGCTCCTCAGCGACACAGCGGCACAGCAGCACAGCTCCTCAGCGGCACAGGAGCACAGCGGCGCGGGGACACGGCGGCAGCACTCTCCAGTAGGGCAGCAGCTAGGTGTCCCAGCGCAGGCAAGCAGAAGACACAGGGCCCGAGAGGACACGGCAGGCCGAGCAGGGGAGGCGGGCAGGTGCTCTGGGGCCGGGCTGGTGCTGGGAGGGGCCAGGCTGGTGCTGCTGGGGCCGGTCGGGCACGAGGAGGGGCCGGGCAGCGCTGAGGAGAGGCCGGGCGGCGCTAGGAAGGGGCCGGGCGGCACTAGGAGGAGGCCGGGCGGCACTAGGAGGAGGCCGAGCGGCACTAGGAGGAGGCCAGGCGGGCGAGCGTTAACAGCAGGCGCGACAGGGGCCAGCGGGCGCGACGGGGCCTAAGGGGCGCGACGGGGCCCAGCGGGCACGACGGGGCCCAGGGGGGGCGCGACGGGGCCGAGGAGGCGCGACGGGGACCAGCGGGCACGACGGGGCCCAGGGGGGCCGCGACGGGGCCTAACGGGCGCGACGGGGCCCAGGGGGGGCGCGACGGGGCCTAGCAGGCGCGACGGGGCCTAGGAAGCGCGATGGGGCCCAGCGGGCGCGACGGGGCCTAGGAGGGGCGCGACGGGGCCGAACGGGCGCGACGGGGCCCAGAGGGGGGGGACGCGACGGGGCTTAGGAGGCGCAACGGGGCCCAGCGGGCTCGACGGGGCCCATTTGGGGCGCGACGGGGCCTAGGAGGCGCAACGGGGCCCAGCGGGGGCGCGTTAGGGCCTAGGGGTCGCGACGGGACCCAGCGGGCGCGACGGGGCCTAGGGGGAGCGCGACGGGGCCTAGGAGGCGCGACGGGGCCCAGCGGGCACGACGGGGCCCAGGGGGGGCGCGACGGGGCCTAACGAGCGCGACGGGGCCCAGGGGGGGCGCGACGGGGCCTAGGGGGCGCGACGGGGCCTAGGAGGCGCGACGGGCGGAAGCGGTAGGCGGGGGGATCCTAACCTAAGCGTGATACCATGTTAACGTAGAAACGAATGATTACTAGAGGTGGAAACCTAGAACAAATACTAGTTGGTTGTACTCACTAGAAGCATACCTCAGTCTAGCCTATAACTTCTACATAGATAATATGTATAAGTTGACACAAGCGCCTTAGTAAAGATATCAGCAGTATTGGCACCGGAGGCCAAGTGAACTATGCGGGCCTGACGTTGCTGCTGCACCTCGTACAGGAGGAAGTACCGCAGCTGGATGTGCTTCGCTCTGCCCTCCAGTCGAGGCTCCTGAAACAGGAGGATCATGGCCCTGTTGTCACCGTACAAGACCGGGGCAGAGCTAGGCTGCTCACCTAAGTCTGTGAGCAGGAACGTAAGCCAGCGGAGCTCCTGTGCCGCCATAGCACCTGCGTAGATCTCGGCCTCACAGCTAGACTGTGCAATTGACGACGAGCGGGTGGACCTCCACGAGACAGCGCCTACCCCAAGGCTAAAGCAGTAGCCCCGGGAGGACCCGAGCGTCACTGCGTCGTCGGCCCATGAAGCGTCTGTGTGCCCTGTCAGGACCATTGGCCTGCGTCCTCCTAAATAACGCAAAACCCTCTTAGGTGCCGATCAGTACTATGGTGACTGTGTGAGAGTAATGGTGCGCTTTGCTCTGTCCCTGGAGATCTGCAGCCCAAGGTAGTGGCGCACCTCTCCTAGGTCACTACAGGTGTGTCTCCTAAGCAGCTCAGCCTTCACCGAGGCCAGAGCGTCTCTGTCTACAGTAGCAAAGACCAGATCGTCTACGTAGACAAGGATGTAGAACGGGGTCTGTCGTGAATGGACGAACAGTGAAGGCTCTGCATTCGTAGCGTGTCGTGCCACTCACGGGGTGCCTGCCGCAGGCCGGAAACTGGGCACCGGAGAAGCCACTCGGTCCCAAGGGAGAAGGTGCTGGTGAACCCCGGCGGACGGCGCAGGTAGACCTCCTCGTGTAGACTGCCCTGGAGAAACGCTGTGGAGAAATCCAGAGAGGGCAGCTCGTACTCACGCAGAGCTGTAACATGTAGCAGCGCCCGAAGAGTGGTCATCTTCGGGGTCAAGGCGAAGGTCTGAAAGAAGTCAACACCCTCGCGGTGACTGAAGCCTCTAGCCACGTAGCGCGCCCTGAACACTGGCGGCTCTCTAGGAGGGCGCTTAACCTTGAAGAGCCACCGATCATTGACTACGTTCACCCCAGGTGGGGGAACTGCGTCGACGTAGGTGCCAGTGGATCTCCAAGATGTCATCTCCGCGTCCATGGCAACTATCCACTGAGAGGCCTAGGGTCTCGAGTTCGCCTCAGCGTAAGTGCAAGGGGTCGGGATGTCAAAGGCGTCTGGGTCACCCTCATCGACTAGCAGCATGGAGCGGAGATGAGGCGCGGCCTCGGACAGGAAAGCAAGCTCTTACTGCCGGTCTTCCAAGACGTCACTGCCGAGGGCACAAGCACCCTCGACAGACGGAGGACAGGCAGGGTCAGAGACTAGAGCGGTGGCGTAGTCAAGGCCGTGGTACAGGCAAAGTAAGCGACGACAGCGACAAGAGCGTCAAGACTCGAGACATGATGTGAGGAATGAGGCGACACCATGGGAGGAATGAGGCGGCATGATGGGAGGGATGAGACGACATGATGGGAGGAATGAGACGACATGATGGGAGGAAAGAGACAACATGATGGGAGGAATGAGACGACATGATGGGAGGAATGGTACGACATTGTGAGAGTATGACCCCATTACACCACTTGTCCCTTTTCCTACTTCCTTCCTATTTTCATTTCTCTTTTTATCTCTCCTCATTTGGTTTCCTATTCTCCATTTTTCATTAACCTTTGGTTTATCCTGCTTTTTTAATTATATCACCGACCAGGCTTGGGATGTACTGGTGCGCTATATCTAGCGTAATCCTGCTGTAATCCCTTAAAGCCAATAGCCTCGCGTGGCTATACGCAGGGTGATTCTATCATCTAGAAGGGTATATATCCTTGGGATAAGATAAACCTGGTTACCTGATGTACTTTGGAAGTATAAAAGCGCCTTGTACTGATCGATAGTGCAATCTTTCCTCGAGTCATTCGATCCTGTGACACTTGGTAATCACAGCTTTTCTCACTCGGCCGCGCTCAACAAAGCAGCAGCAGCGGGAAAACCTGCCTCGAAAAACCGCCGGGGGCGACCAATTCGGCGCCGATTCTGGTAAGCACCAGCTCCGCGTTTTTCCGAATCACCCCACCTGCGCGTGTTTTTGAACAGGATGGCGACCTTCGACAACGCCGAGGTTACCCAACAGCTCTTCGCGCTCATCGCAACCCTTCAGGAGGAGATGCGAGCCGATCGCGAAGCGTGGCGAAACGAGTTTGAGCGAGTAACTCGACTCGCCGGAGCGCAGCACGACTCGACAACGGCGACGACGCAGCAGTCGCAGCAGTTTCTCGAGGCTCCGAAACCGCGCCCACCTGAGCCGTTTGATCCGAGCGATCGAAACTCCGACGCCCGCAGATGGATCGCCGGGATGGAGATCTACTTCGCAGCCGTCGGATGGAGCTCGCTAGTCTGGGACGGTCAACGTGTACGACTCGCGGCGACGCGGATGCAAGGGCCGGCACTCGAGTGGATTGGCGGCAACAGTACCTTCATCCACGGTAAAGCCACGTGGCAGCAGTTCCGCACCGACCTGCTGAAACGATTCGAGCCGATAAATTCAGGTTTCCTTGTTCGGGAAAAAATTCATCGACATCGACAGTTCGGGAGTGTAGCGCAGTACACACAGCACATGGAGGAATTTTATAACGGAATTCCCGACCTGACTGAAGGGGAAAAAGTACAGTCGTACCTCGCCGGGCTGAAGACAGAAGTCAAACGACAAGTGGCAGCGTCAAACTACGCGAGCTACAGTGACGTCGTTTTGGCAGCAGAGCGCTTCAACATGGTCAACGCCGGGACACGACGGACGCACGTTGGCAGTACGCGCCAGGGCAACCGCTCGGCTCACCCCACGTTCGCCGACCCGATGGAAGTCGATAGATTCGAGGGGCGGCCACGGCCGAAAAACACCAACTACACGTGTAACTTTTGCGGGGTGCCGGGTCATCGAATCTTCGACTGCAACAAAATGAAAGCCGCACGCGCAGAGTATCGGGCACGCAACAGTAGCGGAATTCCTTCGGCCAATCAAAAGACAAAAAATGGGAGTCGCCAGTGATTACGGATCTAGCTGGCGAAAAAGAAAAGATCCGGAAGCGGCCGCGGGATTCCGGGAAAATCAACTTCGAGGAAGCTGATTCGACGCGAGAAGGAGGAAATGATGGGGGAAAATCTCCACCCCACGACCAGTCTTCGCCAGGGAAAATCGCCGAGGAAAAATACAACTCCGCGAAAAAAGACTGCCAAGATGGGGAAACTCCTTGAAAACACAAGAAATTATCATGATTCGTTAAAGTTATCTTATAAAGATGCTTTAATGAAAACTTATGATTCTCGAGGGGCTAGAGCCTTAGAGAAAATTCGGGAAGGACTCCAAAAGAAGCAGAAAGCTGTGGAGATTATACCGGTACCGGAAAACTTGGGGAAAAAATTAAGGAGTGTGGAAAGAAGCCGACTTTTCTACGGAGTCAACGTCCTCTCCTGACACCAGCCCACAATGACTACCCGTTCCCCAGGGAAGACGTCGGTGGAGCTGAAGCAGCTCAAGAGGAAGCTGGGGGTCTACAAGAAGTTGCACCAACCCCGAACGCCTCCTCCGGATGCATCCAGTTCTTCGGCATCAATGACGCGCACAGTCGTCAAGGAAACACCGGGCCCTGGAGAGGAGCCGTTATCCAAGCAGCCTCGGCCAGCTGCCAGCTCAGGATTAGATAGCAACACAAAAGGTGTGTAAGGAATATTGGGATGTACCCTATGACCCAATAAATGAAACTATCTTTGGGTACTCCGAGCAACGCCTGCCCCTCGTGCTCGAGGTCATTTGCAAAGGACGACGCCTCCAAGCACTCGTGGACAGCGGAGCATCACACACCGTCTGCGACAAGGCAGTAATCGACCGACTTCGGGAAGAGTACAAGCCTTCAGGATTCTCTGCAACGATGGTGGACGGAAGCAAGTTACTAGTACACGGCGAAGCAGTGCTACACCTACAAATCGGACCACTGCGCTGGAGACCTGCACTCCCTATCACCAACATCAAAGGGCTTGACTTGATCTTCGGACGAGACTTCCTAAAAAGATTCAACCCCGAGATCAACTAGGTGAACCGCACCGCAAACATCTACAACAATGGACGGAGAGTACAGCTACCCAACTGGGACGATACAGGAGATATCCCAGTGGAGACACTCGCACGATTCGAGAAGGACGTGAAGCGAACCGACACCGGGCTCCTGGCGATAGCAACAGAGGTGGAGAACGACAAGGAAGAGACCTCGGAACCTCCGAGAAAGATCAAGGAATTATTGAAGGAGTTCCAAGACATTCTTCCTGACGATCTTCCGAACGAGCTACTGCCATACCGAACGCATCAACACATGATCGTGGAGGAACCGGGTTCGAAGACGACCTTCCGAGCACCATACCGGCTCAGCCCTATGGAGCTGACCGACATGAAAAAACAGATCGAGTATCTCCTAGCTAAAGGACTCATCCGACCATCCACTTCGCCATACGGTGGCCCAGTACTCTTCACACCGAAATCGGACGGAAGCCTGCGCATGTGCATCGACTACCGAGCTCTTAACAAGCAGACAATCAAGAATAAATAAACAATACCACGGATCGATGACCTGCTTGACCAGCTTCGGGGAGCTACGGTATTTTCCAAACTGGATCTACGGTCCGGATACTGGCAGATACGGATGGCGGACAACTCTATCCACAAAACTGCTTTCCGAACTCGGTATGGATCGTACGAGTATTTGGTAATGCCGTTTGGACTCACCAACGCACCGGCAACGTTCCAAGCCGAAATGAACCACATTCTACGACCACTTTTGGACGAGTGCATGGTGGTGTACCTGGACGACATCCTCATCTACTCGCGCGACATGAAGCAGCACGTCGAACACCTGCGACGCGTCTTCGAAATTCTTCGACGAGAACGATTCTACGTCAAACTGTCCAAGAGCGAATTCGCCCTTGAGAAGGTCCAGTTTCTAGGACACATGGTGAGCGCTCAAGGAGTTCACGTCGACCCCAAGAAAATCGAAGCCGTACGTACGTGGAAGACACCCGAGAACGTGAAGGAGTTGCACCATTTCCGAGGCTTCGCTAATTACTACAACAGGTTCGTGCCACAGTATGCGAAACTCGCAGCACCAGTTACGAATCTGTTAAAGAAGAACACGCCCTACAAATGGGAGCCGAAGCACCAGGAAGCCGTGGAGCAGCTGAAGCAAGCACTCACGTCCGCACCAGTACTCATCTTGCCAGATCCCGAACGCGACTACGTAATCGAAGCTGACGCCATCGACCAGGCAGTGGGAGCAGTCTTGATGCAAGACCAGGGGAATGGACTGCAACCAATCGCCTACCTCAGCAAGAAACTACACGGGGCAGAACTAAACTATTCGATACACGACAAAGAGGCCCTTGCCATCGTCATCGCCTTCAAAGCGTGGAGATGTTATCTCGAAGGACGAAGAACAACCGTCTATACCGACCATTGCAGCCTGAAATATTTGAAGACACAACCCAACCTTTCTAGGAGGCAGGTCCGGTGGATCGACTTCCTCGAGACACACTTCCACTACGACATCGTGTACAAGCCCGGCCACAAAAACAAAAAATACGCCCTCATCCGGCCTGCACACGTTGCCGCTATTCAGATCGAAGGGATGAATCCACTCCTCAAGGGACTCTTCACACACAAGTACGCTGTCGACCCCGAAATTCCCTTGGCAGAAAAGCGACATCTGCTACAGTGGGACATTGACATCGCGTACCACCTACCACCAGCGGTCATTGTTGGTGCAACCCTATGGCTTGCACTCGGCTTGTCGTCCTTGTTTGTGTGTGTGCATGCATGGCATGGAATGAATTGTGAGTCTATGTCATTGCTATCTTGTGCTTGTGTGTGTGTTTGAATGGTGTATCACAATGTGGTTTGTGTCGGTCAAGACATTAGCGAGTTTTTACAACTCGCATGTCAAGTCGTCGTTTGTGTATCGCATGTGTTTTTTCTATTTTGTCGAGTGTGAAGTGTCCATCGTGTCGCAGGTGTGTGCAGCAAGCCCCTATAAGCTCAAGAAGAATTTATCTTGCAGATCCAAGAACAAGAGCTCAAGATTTCAAGCCCAAGGGACGCGGATAAATATTAAATAGTGAAAATAGTAACGTTACTTCGTGTAGTGTTACATTTCACTTGGTGTAGCCCCTTGGAGGGTTGGTTTCGAGACTCTTCATGGTTGGGGACTCTGTGGTGGTGTACCACCAACCTGGACCTCGGCTCTTGGGGTATGTAGAGGCTGGGAACCATCTCCCTCTCGAACTCTTCTTGCTAAGTTTGTACTTCCAAGACTATAGTGGCTGCTATACCTCCTGCCAGTAAAAACTGCCATAGTGTCGTCAAATCTTCATGGAATTTCATGATTCAACTTGCTGCTGATAGACGACAGCAACGCGCTCCAGATCCAACTTACAGATCACTGTTTGATTCTGCGACCAGATCGCTATCAATATTTGAAGCCGTCTGACGGAAATCCGACTGTGCTCTCTATCTATCATTATAGGCACATCTAAGCCTATTGTGATTATAACAAGTGGTATCAGAGCCCCTTGGAGCCGTCGCGACCATGCCTAGACCTGAGGAAGGGGGTGGCAGAGGTGCTGGAGGCAGAGAAGACGCCCAAGCACAAGGTCAACACGAAGATCCACTCGTTGCTCCGGTGCAACCTAGCCTTGGACCCTCTAGGGATGAGCCTAGAGTGTTTGGCCTTGACAAGTTCAACGGTGACAACTTTGCTGAGTGGTCCTTCAAGATGGAGAACATCTTCGACCACTATGATCTGCTGGTGGTGATGGAAGGAACGGAGAAGCGCCCCGAGAACGATCCGGAGAAGAGCCCGTGGGTGCGGAAGAGCGCACAAGGCTACCTTCTACTTGGGCAAGCGTTGGGGAGCAGCCAAATCCGTCACATCAAGCCTTTTCAGCGTGAACCAGCAAAGGGACCAAAGGCATGACCTAAGAAACTTCGGCACAACAAGCTTGATGCCAAGGCAACATGGGCCGTGCTACTGGGCATGGCTCAAAACAGCAAGGGATGGCTTCTTTGGGACCCATTTACCAAGAAGTTCCTGGTGAGCAGAGATTGCAAGTTCATGGAGAACTTACCGTACAAGGAGTGGAAGGCGGAGAACCAAGCGAAGATTGGTGTGCGGCTTGGAGAGGTGAAGAGTACCGGCTTGGAGCATGTGGAGCTGCCCTTGGAGCTGAGTAGCAGCAGCACTATCACAAGGCAATCTCCTCAAATGAACGGGGGAGAAGAGGAGGAGGAGGTGCAGCAAGGTGATGAGCGTGCACTGTCACTTCCGCCTCGTGCTACAAGTGCTCGCGGGAACCGACCAGATTTGCAGCAACGCCATGAGAGCATCCAAGTCCCTGCAGTAGAGGAGGAAGGAAGGGGGAGAAGGAGGACTCAGCCCCCCAAAAGGTTGAGCTATGAACGGCTTGGAGGACCAGCCAACTCAACCTTGACCGGTTCGGCCCTCAACCCTGAGTTTTTACAACTCGCATGTCAAGTCGTCGTTTGTGTGTCGCATGTGTTTTTTCTATTTTGTCGAGTGTGAAGTGTCCATCGTACTGCAGGTGTGTGCAGCAAGCCCCCATCAACTCAAGAAGAATTTATCTTGCAGATCCAAGAACAAGAGCTCAAGATTTCAAGCCCAAGGGACGCGGATAAAGATTAAATAGTGAAAATAGTAACGTTACTTCGTGTAGTGTTACATTTCACTTGGTGTAGCCCCTTGGAGGGTTGGTTTCGAGACTCTTCATGATTGGGGACTCTGTGGTGGTGTACCACCAACCTGGACCTCGGCTCTTGGGGTATGTAGAGGCTGGGAACCATCTCCCTCTCGAACTCTTCTTGCTAAGTTTGTACTTCCAAGACTATAGTGGCTGCTATACCTCCTGCCAGTAAAAACCGCCATAGCATCGTCAAATCTTCATGGAATCTCATGATTCAACTTGCTGCTGATAGACGACAGCAACGCGCTCCAGATCCAACTTACAGATCACAGTTTGATTCAGCGACCAGATCGCTATCAATATTTGAAGCCGTCTGACGGAAATCCGACTGTGCTCTCTATCTCTCATTATAGGCACATCTAAGCCTATTGTTATTATAACAGTCATGACGCCATCCTTGTCGTCATCGACAAATTCTCCAAAATGGGACACTTCATCCCGACACACACGACAGCATGCACCGAAGAAACAGCACAACTCTTCGTTCGATACATCATCTCACAACATGGTATTCCAACCACACTCATCTCCGACCGAGACCCCAAGTTCACCAGCAAGTTCTGGAAGGAACTAATGTCTCTGCTCGGGTCCAAACTCGCCATGTCATCCGCCTACCATCCGCAGACAGATGGACAGACCGAGCGCCTCAACCAAATTGTTGAGCAACTCCTCCGAGCAGCCTGCAAGGACGAGATCTTCAAATGGGACTTGCACCTGCCCATCCTAGAGTTTGCTTACAACAACGCTACACATGCCGCTACAGCACAGACGCCGTTCTTCCTTTGCTACGGATGCTGCCCACTCACACCACAGAAACCGACCACATCAGCAACAGTCCAACCTGCACGCGACTTCATTACGACCATGCATCAGCTTTGGGATGGGACCCTTAGGCGCCTCCTTGACATTCAACAGCAACAGAAGCGCCAGGCCGATCGCCATCGCAACGACCACACCATTACCGTGGGAGACCAGGTGCTCCTTGACACCCTCAACCTTGACATCAGCCATCTCCCATCGAAACTTCGACCTCGCTTCTGCGCGCTTTTCCTCGTTGAAGCACAGATTGCTCCTGTTACCTTCCACTTACGCCTACCAGCTCCCTGGAAGATTCACAACGCCTTCCATGTCCAACTTCTGAAGCCCTAACGGGACCCGAACACGATCTTTGTTGGATGCCAACCGCCGCCGCCGCCGCCCGTCCTCGTCCAAAATGAACCCGAGTACGAGATCAAGTCCGTGCTTGCACACCGCCGTCATCAGAATGGCACCGTGGAGCTTCTTATTCGTTGGAAGGGTTATGATCCTTCTGAGGACAGCTGGGTCCTTGAGTCCGACATGGGTAACGCCCGTCGTCCTCTGCATGACTACCTTGTCAAGCAGGGTGTTACTCCTACCACCCAGCTTTGAGGGGGGGAAGTGTGAGAGTACGACCCCCTTACACCACTTGTCCCTTTTCCTACTTCCTTCCTCTTTTCATTTCTCTTTTTATCTCTCCTCATTTGGTTTATCCTTCTATTATAATTATATCACCGACCAGGCTTGGGATGTACTGGCGTACTATATCTAGCGTAATCCTGCCGTAATCCCTTAAAGCCAATAGCCTCGCGTGGCTATACGCAGGGTGATTCTATCTTCTAGAAGGGTCTATTCCCTTGGGATAGGATAAACCTGGTAACCTGATGTACTTTGGAAGTATAAAGCGCCTTGTACTGATCGATAGTGCAATCTTTCCTCGAGTCATTCGATCCTCTGATAGACATGATGGGAGGAATGAGGCGACATGATGGGAGGAATGAGGCGACATGATGGGAGGAATGAGGCGACATGATGGAAGGAATATGGCGACATGATGGGAGGAATGAGGCGACATGATGGAAGGAATGATACGACCTGATGGGAGGAATGAGGTGACATGATGGGAGGAATGAGGCGACATGATGGGACGAATGAGACAACATGATGGGACGAATTAGGCAACATGATGGGAGGAATGCAACGACATGATGGGACGAATGAGGCGACATGATGGGAGGAATGAGGCGACATGATGGGAGGACTGGAACGACATGATGGGAGGAATGAGACGACATGATGGGAGGAATGAAACGACATAATGCGAGGAATGAGACGACAGGATGGGAAGATTGAGACGACATGATGGGAGGAATGAGTCGACACGAAAGGAGGAATGAGACGACATGATGGGAGGAATAAGGCGACAGGATGGGAGGAATAAGGCGACATCATGGGAGGAATGGGGTGACATGATGGGAGGAGTGAGACGACATGATGGGAGGAATGAGGCGACGTGATGGGAGGAATGAAACGACAGGATGGGAGGATTGAGATGAAACGATGGGAGGAATGAGATGACACGATAGGAGGAATGGGGCGACGCGATGGGAGGAATGAGGCGACACGATGGGAGGAATGAGCCGGCATATCGGGAGGAATGAGGCGACATGTTGGGAGGAATGGAGCGACATCATGGGAGGAATGCGGCGACATGTTGGGAGGAACGAGGCGACTTGATGGAAGGAATGAGGCGACATGATGGGAGGGATGAAGCGACGAGATGGGAGGAATGAAACGACATGATGCGAGGAAGGAGGCGACATGATGGGAGGAATGAGGCGACACGATGGGTGGAATGAGACGACACGATGGGAGGAATGGGGCGACATGATGGGAGGAATGGGGCGACATGATGGGAGGAATGAGACGACATGATGGAAGGAATGAGACGACATGATGGGAGGAATGAGGCGATAGGTTGGGAGGAATGAGGCGACATGAAGGGAGGAATGAGGCCACACGAAGGGAGGAATGACGCGACACGACGGGAGGAATGGGGCGACATGATGGGAGGAATAAGGAGACATGAGGAGAGCAATGAGGCGACATGATGGGAGGAATGAGGCGACATGATGGTAGGAATGTGGCGACAAAAAGGGAGGAATGAGGCGACATGATGGGAGGAATGAGGCGACATGATGGGAGGAATGAGGCGACATGATGGGAGGAATTAGACAACATGATGGGAGGAATGAGGCGACATGATGGGAGGAATGAGACGACATGATGGAAGGAATGAGGCGACACAATGGGAGGAATGAGACTACACCATGGGATGAATGAGACGTCACCATGGGAGGAATGAGACGACATGATGGGAGGAATGAGACGACATGATGGGAGGAACGAGGCGACATGATGGGAGGAATGAGACGTCTTGATGAGAGGAATGAGACGACATGATGGGAGTAATGAGTCGACATGATGGGAGGAATGAGACGACACGATGGGAGGAATGAGATGACATGATGGGAGGAACGAGGCGACATGATGGGAGGAATGAGATGACATGATGAGAGGAATGAGACGACATGATGGGAGGAATGAGATGACATGATGGGAGGAATGAGGCGACATGATGGGAGGAATGAGACGTCATGATGGGAGGAATGAGATGACATGATGGGAGGAATGAGGCGACATGATGGGAGGAATGAGACGACATGATGGGAGGAATGAGGTGACATGATGGGAGGAATGAGGCGACACGATACAAGGAATGAGGCGACATGATGGGAGGAATGAGACAACATGATGGGAAGAATGAGACGACATGATGGGAGGAATGAGGCCACATGATGGGAGGAATGAGGCGACATGATGGGAGCAATGAGGCGACATGATGTGAGGAATGAGGCTACACGATGGGACTAATGAGGCGACATGATGGGAGGAATGAGACGTCACCGTGGGAGGAATGAGACGTCACCGTGGGAGGAATGAGACGACATGATGGGAGCAATGAGACGACATGATAAGAGGAGTGAGACGACATGATAAGGGGAATGAGACGACATGATGGGAGTAATAAGACGACACGATGGGAGGAATGAGACGATATGATGGGAGGAATGAGGCGACATGATGGGAGGAATGAGACGTCATGATGAGTGGAATGAGACGACATGATGGGAGTAATGAGCCGACATGATGGGAGGAATGAGGCGACATGATGGGAGGAGTGAGACGACATGATGGGAGGAATGAGCCGACACGATGGAATGAATGAGGCGACACGATGGAAGGAATGAGACTACACCATGGGAAGAATGAGACGTCACCATATGAGGAATGAGACGACATGATGGGAGGAATGAGGCGACATGATGTGCGGAATGAGAAGACATGATGGGAGGAATGAGGCGACATGATGGGGAAATGAGGCGACACGATGGGAGGAATGAGGCGACATGATGGAAGGAATGAGACTACACCATGGGAAGAATGAGACGTCACCATGTGAGGAATGAGAGGACACGATAAGAGAAATGAGGCGACATGATGGGAGGAATATGGTGACATGATGGGAGGAATGAGGCGACATGATGGGAGGAATGAGGCGACATGATGGTACGACTGAGACGACATGATGGGAGTAATGAGACGACATCATGGGAGGAATGAGGTGACATGATGGGAGGAATTAGACAACATGATGGCAGGAATGAGGCAACATGATGGGAGGAATGAGACGACATGATGGGAGGAATGAGACGACATGATGGAAGGAATGAGGCGACATGATGGGAGAAATGAGGCAGCATGATGGGAGGAATGAGATGACATGATGGGAGGAATGAGATGACATGATGAGAGGAATGAGACGACATGATGGGAGGAATGAGATGACATGATGGGAGGAATGAGGCGACATGATGGGAGGAATGAGACGTCATGATGGGAGGAATGAGATGACATGATGGGAGGAATGAGGCGACATGATGGGAGGAATGAGACGACATGATGGGAGGAATGAGGTGACATGATGGGAGGAATGAGGCGACACGATACAAGGAATGAGGCGACATGATGGGAGGAATGAGACAACATGATGGGAAGAATGAGACGACATGATGGGAGGAATGAGGCCACATGATGGGAGGAATGAGGCGACATGATGGGAGCAATGAGGCGACATGATGTGAGGAATGAGGCTACACGATGGGACTAATGAGGCGACATGATGGGAGGAATGAGACGTCACCGTGGGAGGAATGAGACGTCACCGTGGGAGGAATGAGACGACATGATGGGAGCAATGAGACGACATGATAAGAGGAGTGAGACGACATGATAAGGGGAATGAGACGACATGATGGGAGTAATAAGACGACACGATGGGAGGAATGAGACGATATGATGGGAGGAATGAGGCGACATGATGGGAGGAATGAGACGTCATGATGAGTGGAATGAGACGACATGATGGGAGTAATGAGCCGACATGATGGGAGGAATGAGGCGACATGATGGGAGGAGTGAGACGACATGATGGGAGGAATGAGCCGACACGATGGAATGAATGAGGCGACACGATGGAAGGAATGAGACTACACCATGGGAAGAATGAGACGTCACCATATGAGGAATGAGACGACATGATGGGAGGAATGAGGCGACATGATGTGCGGAATGAGAAGACATGATGGGAGGAATGAGGCGACATGATGGGGAAATGAGGCGACACGATGGGAGGAATGAGGCGACATGATGGAAGGAATGAGACTACACCATGGGAAGAATGAGACGTCACCATGTGAGGAATGAGAGGACACGATAAGAGAAATGAGGCGACATGATGGGAGGAATATGGTGACATGATGGGAGGAATGAGGCGACATGATGGGAGGAATGAGGCGACATGATGGTACGACTGAGACGACATGATGGGAGTAATGAGACGACATCATGGGAGGAATGAGGTGACATGATGGGAGGAATTAGACAACATGATGGCAGGAATGAGGCAACATGATGGGAGGAATGAGACGACATGATGGGAGGAATGAGACGACATGATGGAAGGAATGAGGCGACATGATGGGAGAAATGAGGCAGCATGATGGGAGGAATGAGATGACATGATGGGAGGAATGAGATGACATGATGGGAAGAATGAGGCGACATGATGGGAGGAATGAGGCCACATGATGGGAGGAATTAGATGACATGATGGGTGGAATGAGACGACGTGATGGGAGGAATTCGACGACATGATGGGAGGAATGAGACGACATGGTGGGAGGAATGAGACGACATCATGGGAGGAATGAGGTGACATGATGGGAGGAATGAGGCGACATGATGGGAGTA